ATCGCACATCGTTAAAACAACAATTACGATATTATCGCAGACGATATATATCGCACACCCCTACAACAAGCTGATTTTATTTGTGCTTGTCTGACAGGGTGTCTGCACAGAGGCAGGGATGTATGCCCTGAGAGAGAGGAGAGTCCACGTTACCCAAGAAGATTTCGAAATGGCAGTAGCAAAGGTACTAAAATCATTTTCTTATTTGTGACCCTGGACCAGCAAATAGCCAACAATACATTGTATGGGTCAAAATTATCGATTGTTCTTTTATGCCAAAAGGGGGGGGGGCGGTCATGATTTAGTTTGTTTCTGCTCTCTCTGGGACATCTTTGTTGGAATGATGCATTTGCTGGGTTTCATATGAAAGCATCTATGCATTTATCAGAGAAGAGGAAACTTCACATTTAAAAGAGCTCTTTCACTTAATTGGTCTGAATTGTGTCATTAGTCCAATGCTAGTTTTATGGTAAAACATTGACTATTTGTTCTAAAATGCCATTTCATTAAAATGAGCTCAAAATTGTGTAAATCAGTTATTAAAACATTTTAATTTTCGCATAGAGCAACAGAAATGTCCTCCACTTTGTTTTCAGATTTTAAAAAGGGGCAATATTGATTGCACAATAACTAAAGCATTTTGGGAAATGAAGTCTCCTTTAAAGGGATAGTTCACCCAAAAATGAAAATTTGATGTTTATCTGCTTACCCCCAGGGCATCCAAGATGTAGGTGACTTTGTTTCTTCAGTAAAACACAAACGAAGATTTTTAACTCAAACCGTTGCAGTCTATCAGTCTTATAATGGCAGTCAATGGGCTCCACGGCTTCGAGAGTAAACAAAACATACACAGACAAAACCAAATTAAACTCTGCGGCTCGTGACGATACATTGAGGTCTTAAGACACGAAACGATCGGTCTGTGCAAGAAACTGAAGAGTATTTATATCATTTTTTACCTCTGATCCACCGCAATGTCTGAGCGCGTTCACAACATCCGGCGTGTAACTCGTGTACGTTCCCGCCATTTTGGAAAGTATCACGGCCCATAGAAACAGTCACTAATGAGGCATCTACTTATATCAACGTATCTGGATCGGTCGAATAGGGAATCTATATATATGGTAGTAGACGCATGTGCGGAAGCGATTTGTCGCGCTTATACGTCACTCATTATTTACACAGTGCAGAGAGATTGCGGACATGTTCACTGGCTCTGCGATGATCTAAAGTTATTTAGAAGTACAGGTCATCACAATGGAAGAC